TTGAAATTCAAGAAGATAATTTTCCAAACAATGGAATCCTTTCAGAAAAATTAAATAATTTTAATATTTTCTAAATGGAAAATTGCATACATAATTGGAAATTTAAATCAGGATGTGACAATATTATGTGTCACAAATGTAACTGGTATCCAGCTTTTAACAAAAGATGGAAGTGCCAGACATGTATGAAGAAAATTTGCTCAAATTGAATTAAAAAGCATTTTGAGATTGAAATGTCTACTTTCAAAGTCTCTAATCATCATGGCAGTCCATTGCTCTAAATAATTATCTAATAATTGTGGATGAATATTAGCAATGTTTAAAATTATAGGATCTTTTCCTAATATTTGAATTTCATGAAGAGTTCTTTTTTCCTAAAGTTCTCCTATTAGGATTATTTTGGTTGTAAATTGTGACAGGTAGTCTAGGAGGATGTCCTACTGGGTAAGCCATCTGTTCAGGAGTAGCAGATGGATAATATGAAGATGTGGCAGTATTTTGGTTTGTACTAGTTTCTGATGTATTCATAAAAATTTTTATTGAATTTTCTTCTAGACTCATGTTTTCTTCTTCTTCAATTTTTTCAAAATTTTGTTTTAATTTGTGGATATCATTTAGATATTTTTCCAGTAAATTATATTTTTCTGAATTTCTCATTTCTAATTCTTGGTTTAATTTTTCCATAATTAATTCATCATTTTTAATTTTTTGAAATTCTTCTAATGTGAGTGCTCCTAAAATTTTTGAATCCATAGTCTATTCTTCTTCAGGATCTTGTTGGTTAGAGTTTTCATAATTCTTGAATCTTAATAATAAAGATCCATTTTCATTGGTATAAGTTACTACCTCTGTTGGTTTTAAAGTCTTAATTTCACTGGTTAAGTTTTCAATTGTCTTAATTATGTTATCAATTTTAATTTTAAATCTTGGGCAAACTTGTGTGGATAATCTTCCCATTAAGATTACGTCTAACACAATATTTGATCCCTTAAAATTTCCAAATCCCTTTGTTTGGACTTGAATTTTTAAATACTTAATGTCTTTTAAGGCAATAGTATAATTTGGACATAAATAATGAATTCCAATATTATTATTCATGTCTACTTCTATTACCCCAATAATTTGTTTATTTAGTGAGGATTGATATCTAGTATCTAAAACAGCAACTAAGACTTTTGTCCCGTTTTGTTTTATTAGTAATCCTCTTACTCCAATTGTAATTAATCCTAAATGTATATAATTTAAATTTTTGGAAGAAATTTGATTTATACATTCATTTGTTAATAATCCGATCGTTTCAGTCCTACCTTCAGGTATTTCTAACATTTCGGATCTATGTGTTCTAATTAAACTGGAATTGTTTTCTAAAACTCTAGTTCTGTATAACATATTTGGTCTTAATGTATTAATGCAATCATTTGACATAATTTCTAAATCTCTTTCTGTGTCAACAATTTGTTTTAATTTAAAAGAATTTTTGTTTGAGTTAAATTTTAAAAGTCTGTTTAAATAAGAGGGACTGTTGGTTTGGTTTAATGTGCTAATTCTAGAAGAACTAGGTTATTCTGAAGTTAATGTCCTTGACCTTCCCGAAAAAGGATTCATTATTTATTTAAATTTTTCTTGACTTCTTCTAAATTGTATGTCAAAAATTTTTTTGTTTTGGATTTAATTTGCGAAGAAATCTGAATATTAGAAAATTTTTTGGATAACAAATCTATGGAATTATTTATCTCAATTAATTTTGGATTTTCAATTATTGTTTTTCTCTAATTACTAAGTCAAATTTTGTGTTAAATTTTTCAATTAATTTTAATAAATTTGAAATTTTCTTTTCTTGTTGTTCTATCATAGTTTTTAAATAATCAATTTGTTTTAAAATTATTTCATTTGACTGATTCATATTAACAGATTAGTTTTGCTATACAATTTTCAATTTCTTCTAAAAATTTTTTGTGGGATTCATAAGTGTTTCTCATTGTTTTATAAAAAGAGGAATTTGGATCATAATTTTTCCCTTCAGTGTCTAACCATTTTTTAGATTCTAATGCTCTATTTTTATAACATTTTTGGTAATATTTTAAAGGTGAAATTTTTTCAGAAAAATTCATGCCGAAATTTCTGTAATATAACTTTTAAGTTCCCAAATGTTCCAAAGATAAAATTCATAATTATTATAAGAATGTTGATATTGTTCCCAATTTTGTAAATGACAATATTCTTGCATTTCTGCTATAAAAATTTGAAGATTATATTCATATATTATTCTAAGTTTCCAAACAAAAAATTTTAACCATGGATGAAGCATTTTAATTTCTCAGAATCGTAATAAGCTCTGATACCAAATATGGGGGTGGTATGCCTCCGCAGAGGTTTAGTTTGTGAAAAATAAAAGATATGAAAATTAGGATAGTAATTTGTGAAAAATAAATGATGTAATAGTTTGAGAAATGATTATCCAATGACATGTAGTACATGTTATTAATATTTTTTGGATTAGTTAGGAAATAATACAAAGTGGAATAGTGTTTTGAATTTATTAGTTCGGAGATAAATTTTGATGAAGAGTTTGGGTGTGTGTAGAAATTGAAATGACTAACCAATGACATATAGTACATGTCATTGATATTTTTTGGATTAGTTAGAAAATAATACAAAGTAGAAATGTTGTTCGAATTTATTAGTTCGGGAATAAATTTGGATGAAGAGTTTGGATATGTGTAGGAGTTAAAAATTAAATTTAAGGTGTAAGGATTAAAAATGATAGTTGAAAACATTTTAAAATTGCTAAAATTATTCAGTTTCATCTCCACTGTAGTAATTTTCATAATTTTCAGAGTCGTAATTTACGGGATAAACAGGAGTTTAATGTCTATAGGATTCTCCTATTTCATAATTTATGTGTGCATGTTGTTGATGAAATTCCGCTTCAAAATTTTTAATGTGTTTTGATTGAGAAACTAATTCGATTATTTCTTCAACCAAATTTTCTAATTTTTCTTCTTCAAAATCTATTTCCAATTGTTCTTTTAATTTGTCTATTTTCTTGGAATGTAAAAAATTTTAAATACTTGATAATTTGTTTTACGAAGTCTGGGTAGGGAAATTTTTTTAGTAGATAATAAATTTTTCGTTAAAATTTGGAATGTTTATTGTATATTCAATAAATTCTTTATTTAGATTTTTCATCTAAATAATATGTAGTAAATATGTTTCCAAAATTTCTTTCAACTTGAAAATTTTCATTGTTTCCAAAATAGTCTTGAATAAATTTTTTGTCCATGTTTTCAATTTTTTCTACAAATTGTCTTTTCCGCATGCATTGTTTTGAGAATTTATATTGCAAAATTTTACTTTTTTCAAACAGTTTTTAAAGCTTTGCTCCTTCTTCTCTTTACTACTGCCAGATATGATCTTTCTTAATCTTATCAGTTCATGTTAGTTTTTATGCTTACTATTTAATCATATTTTATCTAAAACTCTCATCACCTTTTCACCCCTAACCTACTACCGGATTTCTCCGTCTACAATCCTAACAACATCTATGGACCTTATTTGGGTACTCTTTTCCCTTTCTGGTACTTCTTCCCCAAAGGTTTTCTAGACTACATGGATTGCTTCGACTCAAACAGGATTTACGTCTATTGAATTCAGATATACATATGATTAAAAATAAGAATAAAAACTAACACAAAGTAAAAATGTTGAAAGCAATATATATATATATATATATATATATATATATATAGAGAGAGAGAGAGAGAGAGAGTTATCTAAATAAATGAATTTGTTAGCAGATATTCTCATGCAACATTTAGGAGGAAAATTTGCACTTCACTAGAAAAAGAGCACAATAGACTGCACAACGACTCACGCAAGCAGCAATGAAATTTGGGCATTCAAATCCTTTCATCAAAAGCAAAGAACAGCAAGATAGGTTAAAAGAAGCTTCGCTCTCATGTAGTGATAAACAAATGCAATCTTATATTCCTTATGGTGGCATGAACTTCTCAATATTTCTTCTTTCTCAAACCAACAAGCATGCGCATCAATCGTTATGCTGTGGAACCGTGTCCACCTTGCAAGGTGGACACGGTTCTATGTTCATAATTACTGAACTATTTGTTCATAATTATAAAGCTATATATAATTTTTGAACTTCATATTCATAATTATTGAATTTTATATGTACAATTACAGAACTCTATGTTCATAATTACTGAACTATATGTTCATAATTATAAAGTTATATATTCATAATTTTTGAACTTCATATTTACAACTAGCGAATCTCTATATTTATAATTACAGAACTATATGTTCATAATTATGTTCACAACTTTACGTTCATAATTATAGAACTATATGTTCATAATTTTTGAACTATATATTCATAATTATGAACAGTTTTAGAACCGTGTCCACTTTACAAGATGGATACGGTTCCACAACATAATTTTCCCATGGGCACATAGCTTGCTTATCTTTTTTTTAATTTTTTATTTTTTGGTTTGAGTGCTATTAAAAATAATTATTAAAATAATTTTTTATATATAATTTAACATTATGATATCATATTTAAGAAAAATTAAAAGTAGTCTGTAAAAAATGTTATTTACACAATTTTTAAATTTTAATGATCGAATTACATACTTTTTTTGTTCAATAATTTAATTTGCATAATATATAAAAGTTCACCTATATAACATTTTTTCCTTAAAGTTTTAATAGTAATTTCAATTGACATAATAAACATTTTTGTAATAAGAGTATATTTATGATTTTTAAAATACCAAGCATGGGCCCCCACCGCACGTGAAAGTTTCCTCAACACGTGAGGTATCTTATCTTTTATCGCCCGGCCCGATAAGTAACTCAAAGCTACTCCCTATTTAGGGACTTAAACCCCCTACTTTTCCATCTAAACCAGTAATTCGGTAAACCCCCAACTTTTCTCTCTCCAAATACATACACAATTAATACGTATAGCGTTAGCAGATATGGCGACGAGCATGTTACCGTTACGGCCACCAGTAGTGGCCGCCCGTGCTGGCTCCGGCAACCGGAAGACTGACGCAAGCAGCAGGAAAAGCAGTAGCTCCTCTAACTGGTGGTCTCCGCTCTTCGGATTGTCCGGCGAACCGGACTACGTTGATACCGACGACCTGAGGACCGTTGAGAGCAAAACAGATCCGGATCCGAAACCGGCGAGGACGCGGTTCGCTCCCGGCGCTTTCACAGAGGAGAAAGCCAAGCAGCTCCGTCGTCTCACCACGGAGACTTCGTCGTTTCATGACGTCATGTACCACTCCGCGATCGCTTCGAGGCTCGCTTCCGATTTCACCGACATATCCACTCCCGGTACCGATCCACGGCTTTAAACGTTTGCTGATGTTTGAACTTTTTTTCCCCCTTTTTATAATGTAAACTTGTATGTTGGAATAGTTTCCGCGTGACGTCCATCGTATAAGCATGAACTTTTTAAATTGTGCTTATGTAATAAATACGTTATGGCGTGGGAAACTGTATTCTGTTTCTAAAAATATTTGGGCTGGAATATACTCCATATTATATTTAGGAAAAATCATTATTTTAGTTTCTCAATTATTTTGCGGTTGTCAATTTAGTTCTTACTTTTTAATTTAAACGAATTTGATTTTTAAATTGTTTTAAATTTTGTCAATTAAATACATTTGACACTATTCCATCATTGAGTCATTAGTTGCCCTTATTTGAGTTCCCTACTTCTCGAACTCTTGTTTGGAAAGTATGTTTACTTCTCGGACAAAGAGCGAGAAGTGCTTCTGACACTTCTTAATTAGTTACGTCCGAAAAGTGCACACTCAAATAAGGACTTTTACTTCTTGGTTAAGCCAAAAAGTAAACTCTTGCCTATGAGCGGAAGATATATTTACTTCTCAATTACATCCCAAAAGTATGCACTCATATAAGGGCAACCGAAATGTAAACTTCTAAACTTACTTCTCGACTAGGTCAAAAAGTTAACTCTCGCATGTGATCGAAAGGTATGTTTACTGCACGATCACACGCCCGAGAGATGCTTCTGACACTTTTTGGTTACGTCCTAATGGTGATGTGACGAAATAATGCCTTTTGACATTTTATTGACAAAATTTTAAACAATTCGAAGACCAAATTTATTTAAATTTAAAAATAAGTACTAAATTGATAGTTGTAAATATGGACGGGTGATGCTCTTTAATCCCCCAAATCTTCCTTTCAACCATCAAGGATTTAAGGTGGTTTTTTTAAATACATCAAGTATAAAGTACCCTAGCTTAATCCCTACTAATTTGAGAAAATCTTATATTAATCTAACAATCTAACATTGTATTATTTGATGCATAGAATTAAATTGGTAATTAAGGTAGTGATTATTTAATCTTGCATTGTTAAATGAATGATTGTGAACTGTGATGTGGACTTATATATAGAAAAAGCAAATACATTAAGCAGATATTAACGATACTAATGGCTTCCCAGTTCCCACCAACAGTCACCAGAACCAAAGTTGGAATATGCTTTTATGCCAAATTTAAAAATACAAAACAGCAGTTTCATCTGACTGATATTCAAATATGTTAATAAAGAGTGATTTTTTTTTTTTTTTTTTTGAATAGAGAGTTGAAATGAAAGGCGACATCAGTCTTTGCAGCTTGCAACAAATGTTCCCAAATCTGTTCATATAGCAAATACATGTTAAGTTTAATCTATCTCCGGTGAATCTTTATTAATTTGCAGAGTTTAGAATAACTAAATCTGCAGATTCAAGAAAGAATTATGTACAGAAATGGCTCCTTATTGAAAATAAATACAGGCAGATGAAATCCCATCTCATGCATATCAAATTGGGTTGGAAGAAGAATGAAGCAATAAAATCTAGTTCTGCCTATATGGTCAAATCGAACTGCCTTCTGGAGCACAAGTTGGGCCGTCTGTACAGAAATTTACATGGAAATCTTGATATGGTCACATAAGGTTAAAAAGAAACCTAGGAACTACTACAGAAAGACCATCACATGGTTATGATGTTCTTATGACTGGTTCTTAACGACCTTGACGCTGCTATAGAAGCGCTTCAGGTCCTTTATTGCCCTTTCCTCTATCTGAATCGAACGGATAGAGGAAGGCATCTCGACCTCTGGCTTGAACCAGCGGTTCAGGCCACTGGAGTCTGATGGCGAGCCTTGTCCACTCATAAGGGAGAATCCTGCAATTTTTGCCTTTGGACTTTGAGATAGGCCATGGTAGTGTCTCACCTGTAAGAAAGGAGAAATACACATTAAGCCATTAAGGTGTAACTAGATATGCTATCTGATTTTGGGATAAAGATGTGAATATTGCCTGCCGTACATGTTAATGCCCAGCAATAAGATTTCAGCAGACAAATAAACTTCTGGAAACAAAAAATAGAATCCAACAGGGAGACACCTCAGATATTAGCATGATTATAGCTGCTTTGAGTATCTTTTATGCAAATGTTTCCTTTGACTTGCATTAATACTAACCCTAAGTCTCTGGTGTCTCCCTGCTGCAACTCTAAGTCTCTAACGCTGTGTTATTGAGCAAAGACAAATTTTGGTAGAGACTAACACACATAATAATGTTGGATCTTTGGCATACCTGCTGCAATTGGATGTCCCTGAGAGATGGGCGAGAAAGTGGAGAGGTTCCAGAGGAAGCCCAGGGAGGAGTGTTCCTTTCCACATCGGAAACCTGTGTTGTTCGTGCAGGTGCAACAGCTACTGGACTAGATGACAAATATGAACTTAATTGTACTCTCCCACTACTGCTGCCATCAGATAATTCTTCCAAATGGTCTTGGCTTTTCACTAGTATTGTTTGCTTTGTTTTGCTCTGTTCATTCTGTATCTCACGAAGAGATGTAGACCCTTTTGCAATCTTCGCCCCTCCCCAAGCAGGGCCTTCAACTTTTGGCGATATTGGCGGTGGAACCTCAACTTTAGGAACATCATCAAGAGCACCACTCAAAAACATAGAGAGTCCACCTTTTCTGTTTTTCTTCTTATTCACTACAGGTGCTTTTGTGCCTTTTGTGGAGCAACTGAGGCCTTTCTTTAAACAGAAAGGAGATTCATTTGCATCTTGGTCTGTTGCTGGACTTGCTGCTCCCTCGAAATGCTTGTCCTCCTACCAGTTGCATGAAAACTATCAATCAATACAACTATAACAATTATAATGAGAAGAGATGGTAGCCCACCATCATATTCAACAGTAAGTTTTGATGGCATTCATAACATCTAGCACCATAACATCTAACAACTATAACAATTATAATGAGAAGAGATGGTAGCCCACCATCATATTCAACAGTAAGTTTTGATGCCATTCATAACATCTAGCACCATACTAAGCATGCATGGCAGCAGAGACCATCTTTATATACATGGAGTTCAGACTAAGCAAAAGAAGCAATATTAGTGGCTCTAACATTTCATTATAATCAACAAAAAAAAGCTAAAGAAGGTGCTTTCTATTTTCAATTTTTGAATGCCATTCCCTAAAAGCCTGCCTATAAAGCTTTTAAAAAATCCCGCCAAGTCATAGGGAAATTTCATCTCACATCCCTGGCTTCTCTTACATTTTTCTTCAAATTTAAACTCTGGCAATTTCATTTAAAATCCCTGGATTCTCTTTTTTTTTTTCTTCAAATGTGAACTATGTAAAGTAGAAGTGCACCAAAGCTATAAATGGCAAAAAGAGTAGTGTATACCTACTTACCTAGGCAGAAAAGTAAAGGTATAGTATTCTCTTTTGTTTACAGATCATGACAGGTTATACCGAAAATAGTTCTCAGAACTGACCTTGTAATTGGCTTGTGAAATGTCAGCAGCCAAGCAACCCTTTTCTGGACTTGGTTCAGCAATGATTTCACAGTTACTGGGTTTCACCTCCAACGGGGAAGGCTTCTGTTTGTTTTTTCTCCTCTGCCTTCTGGATGCCTCTAGCTCTTTAGTTGGTTTTCCAGTGACAGAGATGGATGTGGTTGTTTGAAATGTTTCAATAGGAACACCAAGCTCAGAAAGTGAATGTTCCAAAGTTGACTTTGTTTGAAGCTTTGCAATTTGCTGGGCATCAAGGGTCTGCCCCTTGGACTGCTTCTCTTCAAGCATCTCAATCTGCTGCAACTTTTTCCTCAAAGCTCGGACTTGCTTTGAAATGCCTTCCTTAGCATCATAAGACTGCAGAAAGTTGTCTAATCGTTTGTCTCCCTCTTCTTTAGAAATTGTTCTCTTCTTCTTATACTCGCGCATTCTAAGAGATTCATTATCACTAGTCTCTTCTTCACTGTTCATAATGGCTGGGAATGGGGCTGTGGGGGTTGGAAGCCGACGACAACTCCATGGTTCAGATGACTTTAAGTCCAATAATTTCTCTAGCCTGACAAGGATATCCAATGAAGTATTGGCAAATGCTTGTCCTGAGACTGTAAGAATATAATCCAGGTTGCGAATAGCAATATCCTGCACCAATTTTCCCACAGAATAACATAAGAGGTATCGATGATAAACCAACACCTAGGGAATGGCAGACAGCCCAACATATACTTTAGATGCATTGAATTATGTAATATCACAAATGTACATGTGAGTTTGTCTGTGTTGACTCTGAAATTCAAGATGAGACAATTATAACTAATATTGTACTGGTCAGGGCAATGGCTTTTAAAGAAATCTCTGAAAAAAAATTAAAACCTAGTTCACCCTGGTAATCATAATTTAGCCACCACCTGCAATCTATGGCTATATATACATCATTTACTAAACTACAAACACAAATTATAGCATGGAATAACAATCTTCCTACAAGTTACTGAATGATGAAAAGGAGAATTATGGTGTGGAAACATGACATTCATTCAAGGCACCAAGTTGCAGTAAATACATTACGTGCATTAACTAAAAACAAGGATCATTCTTTGGCTGGAAACATTCTATAGAAAACAAGCCTCATTCTTTGGCTGGAAACATTCTATAGAAAACAAGTCTATCAAAATGATGTGACATAACTATTAACTAACAATCATGCCTAGTTTAATTTTAAATGTGAGGTCCATTAATTTCAATCTCTTCCTGAAGTAGGTCATTTCCTCATTCATTTTGATGCTGATGCAAATCTTTGAATGCACCTGAAGAGTGTGGGGATTTGCTAGAGAGCTGCCCCCAATCAAGAAAAAAACAACATATTTTTTTACAGTAAGCAGAAAGCCTAGCTAAGTTTGAAGCAATAACTTTTGGCCAGATGAAGAGAAGTAAATGCCACTTGACTACATAAAAGTTTTAGGTCAACAATGATTAACCTTTCTAAACCAACAAATCAATTATACAATATCCTCCTC